GAGCCAAGAGCCGATTCCCTGTCCCTTCCTCCCCTTGAGTCTAGCCCCGGTTCCTGGCACCTCCCTCCTCCTGCAGTCAAACTGAGCTCTGAGCTCCACACACACACACACACCCCACCCCACCCCACAGCCCAGCCCCCCAGACCTCCCACTCTGCAACCCAGCTGAGCTCAATTTCCCTGCACCTTCCCCCAAACCATGTAGACATGCTGAGCCAGTGCTGATTCCCTGCCCCTGCCTTCCTCCCTCCCCTTGGCTGTGTCTACACTGGCACGATCTTGAGCCAAAGCGGCCACTCTTGTGCAAAAATTTGCTGCCTGTCTACACTGGCCTGGCCGTGGCTATTTTTGCCTGATGCCTTTTACCCAGTATTCTGTCCAAATATCTTTGTCACTGAGCACAGGCAGTTGCTTTGATTAGTATCAGAGAGGTAGCCGTGTTAGTCTGAATCTGCAAGAGCGGCGAGGAGATCTGTGGTACCTTATAGACTAACACTTATGCTCCAAACACTTCTGTTAGTCTATAAGGTGCCACAGGACTCCTCGCCACTTTGATTGTCATGATCCCTGTGCCCCAGGGTCTACATCTCTCATAATTTTTCTTTTCCTTAAAGAGCTGAGAGCAAATAGTGACCCTGGGCAGCAGCATGTCTCTTAAAAGACGCTACTACACTCTTACAAGAACTAAGAATACATTTAGAGAGTATGTATTGGTGTTTTTTGTTTAAAGCCTCAGAACCTACAGTATAAATCCACCTTTTTCACATCCTTGTCTCTTGTCATTTTGTCTTATCCTACCTAAACTGTAAATTCCTCAGGGCAGAGATTGCCTATTTTGTATGAAAAACTCCTTGCTATGATGTTCTAATATGGAAAGAGCTTTGTCATGAATTTATTAATTTTGTGTATAGTAGGGGCTGCACCCCCTGCTTGCTATGCTTGCCAAACCCCCTGCTCTAGTGGTGGGCAGGCTTGGCTCTACCCCCGGCCACCAGGGTGGGCCAGGCCGAGGCATGGCAGCCCCAGCCTGCACTCTCCCACCACTGGCCTTTGGGAAGGGCCAAGGCTGAGCCATCCCTGGCTCTCTGATCCTCCCCCTGCAGCCACCAGAGAGGGATGAGGTTGCCCCTGACCCAGCTCTTCTCCCCTCCCCGGGCCACCAGGGAGGGCCAAGCGAAGGCTGAAGAAGTCCTGGCTGAGCCCCCCGATACTGGGCTGAGACCATGGTGTGGTAACCGCGGCTTCCCCCAGAGTACCGGGAAGAAAGGGAGGAGGCAGGCAGGACAGAGTGACATAATGGCTGTAGATTTGGTGCTGTATTGGCAAGGGCTCTTTCCTCCTCCCCATGCACTGTGCCCTATTGAAGTGGGGATTAATTATAGAATGTGTGTGTGGAGCTGGAGGCCAGGCAAACTCCTGACTGGAGTTAGTGTTTATGTTGGAGAAGATTGTAAACAGTCTGTGGGAGGAGTATGGAACTTCTTGAGGCAGGTGTGTTGCAGAGGTTCAGGGGGGTTATAAAGTGTTGTGTGAAGTATGGGGGGCTGGTGGGCTGAAAGGAAGCTGGGGGTCTGGGAGAAGGTTGGGGAAATGTGTGCCCTTGTTTCGCGGACTCGGAGGAGGCTGGGGAGTTCTGTATGTTGAGCGAGACTGGCCTAGGTGGCTGACTAAGTGGAATGAGTAGGGGGCTCTGAGGAAGCTCCTTGAGGACAAAAGGAGTGACTGAGGACTTCTCAAGAAGGTTGCAGGAGGACTGGGGGAAGCTGAGGGCAGTGGGAAGAGAGTGGGGGAGGCTGCTTGACGCAGTGATGAGAAGGTGGCTGGGAGGAGGCTGGAAGCTTGGGAAAAGGCAGCCTGAGGGCAGGACGAGGAGGCTGGTGGGGCTGGAGAAGAGGGTTGGGGGAAATCAGCCTGAGGGCAATGCTGGGAGGCTGGTGGGGGGCTGGGAGGGGGCTTGGGGGG